GGGGCTCAAAAGGGTGCAACGTACCATATCATTGAGTATATCAAGACATTCAAAACTAACACTGCCATGTATGGAGGTGTGTATCCTCGTCCAAACGTTGAGTTTGTTGGTCATTTTGGCTAGTAGGTTGCGAGCCATTTCTGTTTCAGCCCATTGCATTGACATTTGTATTCCTAAAAATCTGAGAGGGTCTTTTGGGTTTGCCCATGTCAAGCCTTCTGGTATTGGATCCAAACCTTTTGTTAGCCCCCAGCCTACTGTTTTGTTCCAGTTGATGCGCATTTCATAGGCTAGTTGGAATGCACACATTGCTATAGTGGAGGCTTTGAATGAAGAAGGGGATGCTCTTATAAGGACAATTAAGTTATCTGCGAATAAGATTGTGGGGGGGATATGGAACCCGTGTGGGTTTCGATTTGTTTGGTCGATGAGTCTGTGGATGGATGGGTCCTTCCTTAAGAAGGATGCGATGACTTCCATGATGAAGAGGAAGATTGGGGTTGCTAGAAGATCTCCTTGTCTAACTGACCAGAATGTTTTATATTTGTTGGAGATGTGGCCATTGACATGAATTGCTCCCAATGCGTCGTTATATAAGACTCTTACCCATTTCCTGAAGTTCGGACCTATTCCCATTGTTTCCATGCATTGTTGTAGGAAATCCCAGTTGACTTGGTTATATGTATTTTCAAAGCCAAAGAAAATGATTGTTGCGTTTAATTATTTATCCTGGATGTACCTGATCGACCCTGCGAGGGTCATGGCATTATCCATGATATACCGTGCTAGTATAAATCCTGTTTGGTCTATGTGAAAGCAATTTTCGGTGATCTTTCGTATTTTGTTGGCTAGAAGTTTCGTCAAGATATTGTATGCTATTGTTAGTAGCGTGATTGGTCTGTAGTTCTTCATGTCTGTTGGGTCACCCTTTTTGTAGAGGAGTGTGACTATACCGGTATTGAAAGTTGGTCCTAAGCTTTCATTGGTCCATGCGGTTTTTATAAAGTTGCAGTATTCATCTCTTAAAAGTGGCCAACAAGTTTGTCAAAATTCATTTCACAGTCCATCTAGTCCCGGTGTTTTCCCTGGATTCATGGAATCCAAGGTTCTTTTCAGTTCTTCATTTGTGATTGGTTGATTTAGTTCCTCAGCCATGGTGTGTGGTATAGTTCTATCTAGGTATTTACTGAATTTTTCTCTAACCTGTAGGATTCATCTAGGGATGGGAGAATCTGTCTTAGAGGCGTACAACTCTTTGTAGAAGGATTCAACTATGCATAACATATTTGTTGGGTTGGACGTTAAACCTTCTTCCCCTCTGAATTGACTGATGGTGGAGTTCCTTCCTCTTGCTCTGGTTTTCTGAAAAAAATATTTTATCATTTTCTCTCTCATCTCTCATCTCCCATTTCCTTATCTTGTCTCTGAGTCTCATAACATTTGCTTTCCAGGCGTACCAATGCGCTAGTTCTGATTTAGCTATAGTTAGCAGCTCTTCGTAGTCTGTGGAACTGAGGTTATTACATAAGTTGAATTCGGTGATGCCGCCTACTGCCTCTAATTCCTTTATTCTCTGATTTCTTTTTGCTGCTGGTTTCCCTGAGGCTATGGAAGCTGCGCTGGAAAGGTTGGCTATTAAGAACGGGAGTTGGCTATTAAGAACGGGAAGTTTATCTCTTCTCTGTCAGAGTCGATGCAGATTCAAACTATTGCTTCTTCATTTCACAAGTATGAAGTAAAGAGTTATTAATCTTGAAGAAGCCTGACCCTTTTTTAAGTTCGGGGTCGAAGATAAGATCTAAGAAGATTAGGTTGTGATCTAATCCGTTGTGGTAGGGTAATTTTCCTATAATGTATAGAGCCTCTGAGGGATTATGATATTAGAAAGTAATCTATGGCAGAGTTGGTAATGTACTAGGTTCTATTTCATTTCCTGTATGTGAATCTATTTATCTCTGGGTGAAGTGTTCTTTGGGGTTCACGTAGATTACTTTCTATTCCCGTACCTCTGTTTGTAGTTGACTTTCCCTTTCCTCTTGAGAACATGAAAATATGTCCGTAGTTGAGACCAGGGTTGAGTTCCAGTCCCCTACTAAGACTACATGTTCTTGATCGTTGCACATTGTTGTTATGCTTTGTATGAAGGTTTGTCTTTGGGCAAAGTCGTTTGGGCCGTAGGCATTTATAAGTTGGAAGGATTTTTCTTTGAACGTGAAGAGTGATTCTATCCATCTGCCTTGTACATGATCCTAACTATTGCGTTCTATTCGTATTTGCTTGACTGCTCTTGAGTTGTTGTGCCATAGGATAGCTGTTCCTGCAAATCCAACGCTTGGGGACAGCGCCCAGGAAGCTGCTCGAAAGTATTTTAATCTTAGTAGGATTTTATTGATTATAGTTCTATGCTCTGAGGAATCGGTGAGGTGGGTTTCCTGTAGGCATACTATGTTTGGTGAATCTTTTGAAAACCATTTTAGATAGTTGGTCAAGTTATCTCATTTGTCTGTGCTGGTCAAGATTGTGGCTAGCCCATTGACATTCCATGACATGACTGAGAGTTCAGGCTCCTTAGGTTTTAGCGTATAGTTCTTGGGCATGTTCCCCACCTGTGAGAGCGTGGGATGTTGTTCTGCCATGGAAAGTCAGTGGAGGCCTTGTGTTGTGCTTATGTCGTGAGGAGTTTTAGTTGTCAGGGGACTCAAAAAGGTGAGAGTGGCAAATCTTGACCTCTCGTGCCTTCTCTGCCAAAACCTTCTCCAAATGATCTTCCTTGCCATCAAAGAGTGTGCGACTCTCAACAATCGAAGCTGAAACCGCTGCTCTTTCTGGGGGGGATGTCACCTCCCATGAGTCCGTAAGGGATAGCCTGCATGATCTTCCATGGTCTCCAGACCAAGTGATCGTTGAGTTGAGCCTCCATTGAGTATCTTACCATGCATGGTCTTAGGTCACTAAACACTAGTTCCTCTGAATCATCAATCCACTCTTCTCTCCAGTCAGCTCTCTCTCCCAGGATGTGTGTTGCGATTGGGGAGTCTTCGGAGATGTTGGCTGCCAAAACTTTTTCATTGGGCCCTTCAAGGGCTATCATGAACCAAAATTTGGTTGCTGCAATTTCCCAATCCCCATGCTGCTGGTTCTAGCGGTATGGCATGATCACCATTTTTTAACTCCCCCTCTTGGCCTCCAATTTGGCTGTTGTGAAAATCTTTGCGTCCTGTCCTAGTGCCATGCTTTGCTGGTTGACCGTTTCCCCAACAGTTTCTCTGTTGCGGTCCTTGAGGACTGTGATCTGCTCCAGTACAATTTCCTTTTGTCTGTCCAGGTCTTCTCTTGTGCTCAACTGGTTCTCTGCCACATTCTCCCCTGTATTTTGTTTGTCACTGGACGACTCTTTATCTTTCCCTTTCTTACTCTTTGTCCTTTTGCTAGGATGAATGTGTGTTGCTTCATTGTACAGTTTTGGCCAGTGGAGTAGTCTGTGTGATCCTGCCGTGTGTTTCCTTGGGCTGTTTAGTGTACGGCGGTAACGCTCTGCAAAGAAGTCTAAAAACTGTTGTTCCTTTTCCAGAACCTCAAATTGGTTCTGGATCGACATTTGGCTGTCGATTTATGATTGCAGAAAGTTGAAGCTTTTCAGGTTGAGGATGTGTCTTTTGTAGGCCACACAGACCCCAAATTCCACCTCCCTTTCCCTTTCCAATTCTTTCACATAGTCATACAACCATTCCCGTGAGTTTGTTCCTTCTCCCTCACCCTCTTGAGGGGTTGTGTCTTCTTCCTCTGTCTTGCTCTGTCCCATGAGTGTCCATCGAAGTTTTGGATTTGGGGTCATCGTTTTCTGCAACTGCTCCCTTCTTCCCATCAGCGTCCATTGAAGGTGGTCTTGGAGTTGGACTGCCTTCCTTCCCATCCACCTTCCTTTTAGCTATTGTGTCGTGTTCCTCTTGAAGGTGGTCTTGGAGTTGGAGCTGTCGTGTCCATTTGATCTGCTGTCGAGGCTGTATCCCCTAAACTGTTCACCCTGCTGATTTTGCTGGCTGCCTGACTATAGATTGACTGAGTTTGGGAAGAGTTGTCTGCCTTCCGTTTAAGCAGCTTGTTCGCTGATTGGGATGTGCTGTCATCAGCGCTTGTCTGCAATACTGTTTTTTGAGAATTCTCCGCATTCAACACTCTATCTCTTGCGCGGAGGTTCTCAAAAAATGCTTTTTAAGTGGACTCACCTGTTTTGACCAGCTCCTGCCGGTTTTCCATTCTCTTCTTGTCTTTTGCGACCACTTGAGGGTCAAGGAGGTTCTTTTTTTTTTTTCAGGAAGCCTCCATCTTTGTCGTCAATTCTTTTGGCCCCCTTCCTTTGCCATTGGCTTCCATGCGGCGGGTAGATGTCTGGCCAAGGAGGATAAGGGCCTTAATGTTCTCCCTTCAGTATGACCATCCCGACTACACCTCCCTTACAAACAATGCGCCTTTGTTGGAAGGAGGCCTCACATCCTGTTCTTCATCCCGTCACCAGGAATGCATCCCACGATCTCTCAGCCTTGCTCTGTGGGCGAACAAAGTGAAGATGCATTTCACCATCCGCTCTCTCTATCTGTGGTCTTTAGAAAAGGAAAACACAAAGTAAACAAATAGGTCCCCATGGGCCAAGCTCCATCATCCGCCCGGTTCCTATTCCATGTAAATGTCTGAGTCAGAAAGGGGTTATTGATTGACAAAGGTACAGGCTTAACTGGCAGTCAATCCTTCCTTAGGAAGTCATCAATGCTGGCAGGGTTCCCAGGGCCGTAACGTGGGGAAGAGACAAGGGTGTGTGTCTCTCTGCTGTCTTATCTCGGAGTATATTGTTTTTTATATATATATATTTTTAACTTTTTTAAACTTTTTTTGTTGTAATATATATGTTGAATCCTTCAATCCTTAGTTCAAGTCTTTTTCAAGCACTGGGGTCATTGACTACGTGCATCGCTGTTGTTGATGTTAGCATGCATGTTTGCTCGTATTGTTAATGCATAACTACGTCGAATCATGATGTTCTGTGAATAACTTAACTTCTCTCCCCTCCCAGAATAGATGGGGATCATGGGGCATGTTGTTGTAAAAAAAAAAAAAAAAAAAAAAAAAAAAACTTAAAAAAAGAGAGAGTACCTTTTTCTACATCATGGAAATCAAGGTGTGCGGCGTGATGGGCGCGGAGGCACGCTGCTGTCCTTATCTGTTTTGTGCAAGACACTCCAGCCACATTCTGCACATTTTTCACTTGTCAGCCCACCTGAACCTGCATCTCCCTCATCTATCCTGCCCCTTGAAAGTAATCGGTGGCCATGATGCCCAATGACAAGGCTGCAGATGTCCTGATGAGTGAGATTTGAAGAAAACTGCGCGTGTACCGGTAGACTGGTTCTGTATGACGATGGTGAAAACAGAATGCATCCAAGATGGAAAACTCATATACGGTTGACTGGCTGTTTGACACACACTAGAAAAGCGAGAAGGGGCTGTCTAGAAGTGTTTGCAGGGGTGCAAATCGGGGAAATGGAATGCGTGGCCACACCACCCACTGCCACTCTTCACATTTATCAGGCTCTAAATTCTCAGGCTCATCTGCCACATTGCGCAGCTCAGCACGCATGAACAGCGTGATGTAGTGGCACGGCTTCGGTTCATCCAGCATGACACAATTGCTCACCCAAGCATATCTGACATTAGCGATATCCAAGCCCGTCTCTTCCTTGACCTCTCTGATAGCGCACTCCTCCCAGCTCTCCCCTGCGTCAGCCAGACAAAGGCACAGGCAGGCAAAAAGGCAGACAAGCAGGCAGGCAAAAAGGCAGACAAGAATGACACGTGAGCAGACAAGCAGGCAGGCAAGCAGGCAGGCAAAAAGGCAGACAAGAATGACACGTGCGCAGGCGTGCAGGCGGATGCTGGGCTATAGACAGGCAGGCATGCAGGCAGATGAGACTGACAAGTGTGCAGGCATGCAGGCAGATACTAGGCTATAGACAGGCAGGGATGCAGGAAGATACTAAATATAGGCAGGCAGGCATTGCAGGCAGGTACTAAATATAGACATGCAGGCATTTAGGCTGGCAGATAAGATAGACACGAAGGCAGGCAGACAGGCAGGCAGGCAGATGCTAAATATACACAGGCAGGCAGGCAGATGCTAAATATACACAGGCAGGCATGCAGGCTGGCAGATAAGATAGACAAGAACGCAGGCTGGCAGATAAGATAGACAAGCAGGCAGGCACGCATGCAGGTAAATAAGAGAAGATACACAAGCAGGAAGGCAGGGATGCAGGTAGATAAGAGAAGATAGACAAGCAGGCAGGCACGCAGATGAGAGAAGATAAGACAGGCAGAGGTGCAGGCAAAACGGCACACAATAGACCGAGTCGAGCCAGAGGAAAGAAAAACAGGCAGGCAAAATTCGAGTGCCAACATAAGACACCACGGCTGATGCTGAGTTTCCCCTTTTCAAATCTCTGTTTTGCATCAGGCAAATGTGTATCCCCTTTTCTATAGTTCTTTTGCCGGTTTTCCCTCCCCCTTTTTACAGTCACATATGGCCTTTTGCATCAAGCCAACAAAAAAGCATCCCCTTTCCTCACACTGAACCCGAAAGCAGCTTCCAGACCTAGCTCCAATTCCATGGACCACTTTGGCAGACAAAAACGCACACAGTCATTTCTTCCAAAAGACTACCAATGCATCTTCTAGGCCTACACATTTCTCCGCAATTCCAATTGGCTCACTACCTTATGGTGTGTTTCACAGGCTCGCCCGTGGCACTGTGTCCGTATGTTCACTATTGTTCTCATGAAGCCCCAGCATCATGACTGTATTTGGACTGGAACAGGCATCTCCTAGGCCTATGCATAGCTCTAGTTCCAATTGGCTCACTACCTTATGGTGGGTTTCACAGGCTTGCCAGTGGCACTGTGTCCGTATGTTCACTACCTTAGTACCTTCTTCTCACGAACACGAAGCCCCAGCATCATGACTGTATTTGGACTGGAACAGACGGTTTTTTTTTTTTTTTTTTTTTTTTCGTGTCAGTTTCTTTTACTTTTCCCACGCCACAACATAATAATCAGATAAAAGAGCGCAGAAGAGCGATGGCATGACCGTTTGAGATGATGATGATCCTTATAACACACAAGGTCGGGGAAAAGTGGGACAGGGAAAAAAAGGACAGCAGTGAGACCAAGAGCAAGGGGGAAGAATAGGCCGGGATAGATGATGATGAATCAAGTGGGATTCCCATGATTGAGGAAGAGGACGGCGGATCGAGGCAGTATGAAGGGAACAGGAGGAAGGTCCTGGAAGGAGAAAGGGCAAAGAGGGAGGAGGGATCGGGACCACAACATCGGATAAAAGAGGGCAGAAGAGGGATGGGATGACCGTTTGAGATGGTGATGATCATCATAACACACGAGGTCTTCGAAAAACGGGACAGGGAAGAAAAGTCGCAGACTCTCTCTCTCTCTCAAACAACTATTAAAAAAAACACCAAATGGGGCCTATCGACAATGGTTGGTGGAGGAAGCCGGAGAATCCAGGGATGATGAAGAGATAAGTAGGAACGAGAATGCTGGAACGATGCAGGGAGCAAGAAGAGTGACAAAAACGAGGAGAAGAAGGAAAAAAACCAAGAGGCTCATGGTGGCGCCCATGCTCCCGCATGAGCAATTTTTTTCTCGCCCCGATTGCGCCCGCTCTTCCAACCCGCCTGCGCGCTCTAGCACTTGATGCGGTGCCTCATGTTCTGACTTCTCTTTCTGCATTGTGTTTTGTTCATCTTTCCATTGGCTTCAGCACAGGCTCTGATAACAAGGGTCGCACGCATCTGCATTCCTGAGGATCGAGTGCTGAAGGCCTCGGATCAGGAATCCTTTCAAAACATATTGCAACAAATTCTGGAACGAGGCGACACGCTTCTCACTGCTGGCGACCTCAGGCAACTGACGCTGCGGACAAGGTCGCGAAGGCACACCAGGGAAAACGTCTGGCCTCGATCTTTGCCACAAAGAGAACGACAAAGACATGCTCCTCCACCATCGTGATTAAAAAGAGAGAGAGAGAGAGAGAGAGAGAGAGAGAGAGAGAGAGAGAGAGAGAGAGAGAGAGAGAGAGAGAGAGAGAGAGAGAGAGAGAGA